CCGGTTAAAAATGACAAGGCAAAGGGGGGGTGCAAGACAATTTCTCTTATTCTAGATGAGAAAAAATAGTATGATAAAGATTAACCTGGTGGGGGCAAAGTTAAAGACAATGGTGCTTATATGACAACCTAGCACTATGGTAGCATTGAAAATTGGAAATTATTGATATCATATATTTGATGTTGCTGTTCTCTTATGGCCCTCTTTCAATATGTGCTGAAAATCATTGATATATTTTTTTTCAATGCTAACTGTTAGATATGAAACCTTTCTAAAGCATGTTTGGGTCCCAAATACTCTTAAAATGGAAAGGTATTGATGTGATGCTCATATTCGATACCGATACACATATGAAACACCTAGCTACCTATATTGGGAGTATCCTCCATTTTTCTTTTTATTTAATTGCATTGACTTTGAATAGGACTAAAATTATATAGCTCTATCTTTTCCTCTGTATTCTTGAAGCTATAGTAAATCAGTTGTGTAATTGTATTGAACCTTGACATCTTTAAATATAACTAATGCTTTTGTGATGTTCTGACGTGGCTTGGGAAAGAATTTGTAATTTTGGTGACATGAGCAAGGGAAAGTTATGTAATTATGGTTTTTTTGTTTTGATCATAAGTATTTTTTATTAATGATAATCATTCACTAATTTAATATGTATTTTTTACTTTTTTATTTATAATTCATGTTAATGTATCTAGGCTGTATCATATCTTGGACTTCTTGTATTCTTGCACCAATGTCATATTGTACCCATGTCTTAAGTATCTGGGAGTTGGTCTTTGGCATGGTATTAGATTTACTTTTGGAGTAAATGGATTCCTCCTCGTATATATATGTGTGTGTGTGTGTGTGTATGTGTATATAAATCAAAAGGATTACATAGGACTTTGATAGATTACATTCAATCCCAATAAAGGAGAAGATTAGCTACTCATGGTGATGAGAGTCATCTCCATGTTCAAAGAAAGTATAGAAGGAAATGATGAACCCAAGATCCCTATCCTCAGATGTCTCTTGAAGCTTTCCTTCCTTCAACTCTGCATTCATTCCTCTATCCTGTTTTATCTAATTCTCATTTTCTCTCAATTCATCCCTTATATAGGTCCAAGAAATAAAACAAAGTAGGCTTTTTAGTGACCAATCCACTTAGTCCTTTCCAAACGGCTAAGCAGATTTTTGAATTCTTCAGAATGAAGAAAACTCCATCAGTTGAGATTTTTTTTATCTGTTGAGCTCTTCTGGATCAATTTTTTTTTTCCTCTTTGGACCAAATCTGCTTAGTCATTTTCAAACAGTTGAGTGGATTTTTTCTGTAGCAGATCCTTGCTCTCTATCTATCCGTTGAGCAGATGCAGATCAGCTGAGCAAATTTGTGAAATTTTGAGATCTCGGAACTTGATCTAATCCGCATGAGAAACAAGGGCTCATAAGTAAAAAATCCATCAACTCTTCATAAACTAACATATTTACACATCCTTTTGATTCTTATAATATTGTAGGGGGGTTAAAACATAAATTTCTTTTAAACCTAGTCTGATAAGTGTCAAAAATGTTATAATTTCTAAGTATAATGGACACTTATCACACATCTAATAGAAACTGAGGAAGTAGCCTAACAAACAAGTGTATATTTTGAAAGAGCCAAACTAATAAATATCTGTCAACAACCTGATAAAGTTTCCAGGTGCTCTAGTCAAACATATTCATAAGAGAATTAAAATTATACAAATCAAATTTGCCTTATGTTAAGAAATGCAAATCAACCTAATAATTGGAATAAATTTTCAGCCTAATTATAGGCGCAAATTTTCAGCATTATTATAGGAATAAGTTTTCCTTGTTGCATTTTAAAATGATGTTTTTCAGATATCATGAAGATACTAATTTATTTTATTCCACAACTATTAAAACACTTCTGCGTTTCTCTCTTTTATTCTAGGATTTCACTTAAAGTACTGAGTTCCATTGTATGAGATTTTGTTGCACTTTTTGAAAAGGGTCGGTCTATTAATTTGTATTGTACTAAAGAAAACAATTATAAACTAATATCTTTAGATGTGCTCTAGTAGACAAATCTGGAATTTGTCATCCTTGTTAACTTTAGATATTTGGACCTAGGTCTTGGTATCCTTTTTTTGAGTCTATTTGGATAAAACTTTTTAAAAGTACTTATAGGGAAAAAAAAAACAGAAAAAAAAATGAAATAAGTTTCTCCAAAAGTTAAAACTAGTTTATGTATAAGTTAATATATTTTTTAAGAAGCTATATGAGAAAGCTTCTACAACTTTCTTTAGGCATAAATTAATTCTAGCTTGTAAAGATTTTTTTTTTTTTTCATTTTTCCTTCATATATTTTTTTCCATAAGTGTTTTTGGAAAATTTTATCTAATAGGGCCTTTATCAGCCATGTTAACTTCTAAAATGCACATAAAAATCATGGCATGTCATTTATTGATACATCTATGCCTGACATTTTTCTTGCCTTCTTGCAGGGTTGATATTGCAGTGGCAATTGGTTTTGCTTTACTGTTTTTCATGCTTGTTGTGTCCTCTCTCATGACCCTTTATTTGAGGCACTTTTGGCTTTTTGGGGTTGTCATATGCTTCAATATATTTCTTCCTGCCCGGTTAAAAATGACAAGGCAAACGTTGGCGAGGAACAGGGAAAGAAGACTGCCATTGTCCATATGAGAGAATTCATTCTGGCGGTATCTCACTTATACACTGGTAGGCAAGGGCTTGTTTCTTGGCTTTTAATTAATTTGGTCTGCCATGGTTACTCTTGGTGCTCCAAGAACTCGTCTTGGATACAACTTTTTTCCTTGCCTCTGAGATAGATACAGTATTCATCTGCCAACCTCTATTCACAACCCAAGTGAATTTGTGGTACACTCGTTTCTCATGTAATGCTCATATAACTGAGCTCGGTCAAGAGGCATATAATTTCTCGTTATGTTTCTTAATTAGCTTGTAGATTTTCAACATTCAAGGAATTCGGGCCAGGATTATCTGCAGTGTTATTTTATACATTGTCTGCAGCTTTGACTGTGTAGAGTTGTATAACTTGCAATTGTAAATGGTTATAGTTGATGAAGAAATAAAAGAAAAATCCATCTCTGGAAATTGCAGGCTAACTATCCAAGAAAAATGTGTCCAGTCCCTGCTTCGAGGCTTTGCTTTTATTTAATTCCTTTATATCATTATAGGAATTCGACTAAGACATTTTTGGTGGAGAGAGTAATTTTAGCATGCGTAGCCTGAAAATTCCAAAAGTTTGACCAGGAAATATAAGTATGCACCTTATCATCGAATGATGAATGACGATTAACAATAAAATGGAATTTACAGTTGCGGTGGATGTCTTCTCACACACACACACACACACACACACACACACACACACACACACACACACACACACACACACACACACACACATATATATATATATATATTATTTCGGTTCTTGTAAATTTTAAAAGTGTGGTATGTATCCAAATATATCACATCCCCTGCTTAGTTGGAGGGATTGCTGATCTAATGTGATGCGAGACACATTATAACCACTTACCAAATGATAATAGAGATGATTTTGAAAACACAAAATTAATGAATAAAATAAACAAGGCTTTTTAATGAACCAAAATAAAAATTATATTTATAAGGTCATGCTGATAATTTTGTTTACTTTATAAAAGGTTGGAAGCGTGATTGCATGTTTGAACAAAAAACATAATTATATCATCTTTAGTCAATCTCTGATTGTCACATTGCTAATTTTACATCTCCTATGTTTTTTCTGTGACAGAAACATGTCTTAAGTGCTGTCATGAAGCAGATGTTGGCAAACAAACGTAGCGAAATCCAAAACGAATGGGTTGACTATTTTTCACAGTTTGTAAGTGGCTTAAGTGCTGTCATGGTCCCCTTGTGACACCTTTAGACATTGCTCTAGGTATCGAATATCATGAGCAAGAGAGGAGAAAATATAATCACATATGGTTTCATTAGGTGGCTCACAAGTGACATGATTGCTCTAAAATAATGAGTGTGGCTGGCCCTCCATCAGATCTTTCGAATGTGTTTTGGTTCTTCTTTTGGATAATGGTTGAGTATGAACGATGCTCAACAATTATTGCAGCAATACTCTCATTCTTTTCTTTCCGCTTCACAACTTTGGTTTTATTGAGTATTAATTAGATAAGATGAAACCCAACTAACTACAACCTATATATGCCATTGGGAGAAGGGACTAGAGAGGATTATTTCATCACTTATAATAATTTAAAGCTAATCCATTGGAAGTCCATTGCATATATATACTTCATTTTAATCTTCTGTGACCCCATCTGATATAATAAACATATTTTGATTTTTTTATAAAAACTTAAATATCTTTTTAATCTTTATAAAATAAATGAATTCTGATTTCGATCTTAATTTTTTGTTTTTATCTCTCTAAGATTTGAAATAATTTATTTTTTTAATAAATGATTGCAATTTAGTTTAGCTCTTTATAAAATATTTTTTTAAAATTTTTATTTTTCTAAAATTTAATATATTTATTTTTAATCCATAATATTCATTTTAAGATAAATAAATCTATTGTTTTTGGAGATCTACTTTTTAGAAGTATTGCGTGTTCACATTATATGATGGGGATTGAGAATAAAAAGATAATAGATATTAATTACTGTCACTTGAAATAATAATTTGACTTTTGTTAACCATAAAAGCAATTAACAAGTATCACATACGATTGGAAATGAGTTTAGTTAAGTTAAAATTAATTTAACTCAGTTCAACTCAATAATATTTAACTTAGTTCATAATTAGACTTGAGTTGATATCAACTCAACTCAATAATACTTTATTCAACTTGCAATTCCATTTGAGTTTAACATAAATATTTTTTTCCAACTCAAAATTATGTTCAAGCTTATTAGCTGCCCATTAGCTCAAATCACATGAATGAAGAGTTAATATTTTTTTAATTTTTATATATTTCAAAATTTTAATTTAGCAATAAATTTTAGATAAAATAATAGTTTGTTCTTTTTAAAGATAGAATATAACTTATTTTATTAGCTTTACAAGGTTACATGGTATAACTAAAAAAACATAATTATAATCGAAATTTGTATAAATAAAAATTATTTCACCTGACGTAAAATAATGAAAAATTTAATTCATAACAATGAAATTTTAAAGTGTTCATTTCTTTAATTATTATTGTTATTATTATTATTATCATCATTATTATTATAATAAACTTATAATTTAATTTTGAAGGTTATTTCAATTTTTAATTAATAAAATTAAATAAGAAGTTAATTTATAAATTATATATTTATATGTCAAGTCGATTCATGAAATTAACAGGTTAAATCATACAAAAATTCAAATTCAATTCATTTATTTATTAAAATCAAACTTTAACTCAAGTTTAACTCATTTGATTTATGAATCAAGTTCAACGAATTAACTATCAAATCAAGTTTTAAATTATTTTTTAATTAGTTCAATTCATTACCACAAACTTCACGTAATAATAAGGATTAAAAATATTGTTTTCAGTTTTTTGAGAAATAAAAATCTAAGAAATTCTTATATGACTAAAATCAAATTAAACTCACTCATTTGACAAAGAATAAAAACACATTCAAGTAAAAGAAAAAATACCTATAAGTAGCTACCAAGATTATATATTACCCATTTTCTAGTTAATATAGTGTTTTATACAAGGAAAACTATTTCCCATGATTTTTTATATACAATTTTTTTTTTGTCCCACACGTGAGAACTATAAATTTGTATCATATAATCATTTACAATGTTTTGAAAATTAAATCGATCATTAAATTAATCGAGGTATAGAATTAATAGATCAAAAGACGAATTAGTAAGTCACTTATTGAATCGTATGACTTGATTGTTATTAAATTTTTTTTAAAAAATTATTCATGCCATATATATTTATACTTATAAAAAAATTATATAATATCTTTAAAAAGTTCAAAAAAAATTATAATACAGACAAAACAATCAAATTATACTCATTGAACCACATTAATTAATGTAAATTAAATATATAATTTAAAATTAAAACATTATATAAATTATTTAGGTTAATTAAATGATAATTTAGTAAGTTCTCTAGTGATCATTGAAGTGTTAAATATATACATTCACCTCATTTATGTATTAAATATATAATTTAAATTTAAAATAAGTATATAAAGAAAATATATAATATACATAACACATTCAATCATTGGCAGGTGGCTCGTTGCAGAATGCACTTTGAGAGGCGTGTTGCAGTTCTTTAAAAACAAGCCGATTTGGCCAAGAAGCCGATTTTTATCGATTTTTAATCGAGTTGTTGATGTCATCATGGGTTAACTGCATAAATGATTTGAAAGTATTATTCAACAAACAATTAATAGTAACAAAATACATTGAATAACATGGATTTAGATTTGAATTCTTACAATTAGGCGTCGGGGTTAAGGAGCGTGGATGATGATTGTGGCGAATGAAACATTTGAATATGTTATACTAAGTGGTGCTTTTCGATTCATGGCATGCTATGCTCCCAAAATTCGTTTACTATAAACAGAAACTTGCTCTTGCTGGTTGGTGGGTTCGAGTAAGAAATCAAGTAGGTTTTATTTTTTAATTTTGAAAGATAGTGATTGGCGATCTACCCCATGAATATATAATAAAAGGATCTATAAGGCACAAAGCAAATCCTTAACCTATGTATAGCTAGGTTTAGTTGTCGTACTCATCACTCATGCATGGGATACTAACTTCCCATTCAGCATTCATTATATATGCTTGTTGATGGGTGATGGAACAGTAATTAAAAGGAGAAATTCCTGGCCAACTATAGTTTAAAGTTTAAACAAATTCAGTATTATTAGTCTTCGGGTTGTATTTGCCTTAATTATCCACTGCACAAACTTGTGTCTGAAGCTCTATATTTGGAATTGATTCAATGAATCGTGTATTTGTCCCTCATTATATTTATATGCATGAACTCGTCAGTGGGGACTGTATTTGATGAGATGTGGCCGAAAGCAAAAGTGCATCACTCCGCAACCCTAATTTGTTTTTCATTACACGTTCCTCTTAATTTTATTTTATTTTTGTTTAAATCTAAGTAATTGGAGATTTCAATATACTTGTTTTGGTTTCCAATTTGAACCACTGAGGCTGAAATGCTGCTGGCCTGGGTATTAAAGTTCCCTCCACTAGGGTTTCCTTTTTGACTTATTGCTCTATTAGCTTTCAATGTCGAGATTAAACTTAAGTGTTCATATTATACCAATCCTTCCTTACCATAACTAATAATTTCTTTGTTGGATTACTTACTAGTAAGGAGTTTAGGATGTGATGAGGATGGCAATATACTCCTCAAACATTTATATAAAAAGTTGACCCACAAAAAAATTATTATTTTTTAAAATTTCATATCAATTGATATGACCATACTAATCTATGTAATGGAGACTTACAAATCGAATTTATAAAATTGAGATAGACTTATTTTACTTTTTTTAACAAGTTTTAATTTCAATTTCAATTAATAATAGATGATGTCTTCAAAAGAATGTCACTAATATTTTAACTCGTTATTATGCATAAAAAAAATACTGGAATATTTAATTCCATCACGTGATTCACATGCATTTACATATAATTTTGAACAAATAATTAGTATTTTAATATATAAAAAAATGCATAAAATAAATATTTGTTTTATATAAACAATTTATGATAAATAAGTATTTTTAAATATATAAATTATATTACTATCAAAATATGATAAAAAAATGTTTTTAAATTTATAGATTATATTTTAGATATACGATGCATATATTATATTGTGATATAATATCATTTTAATCGTTGATAAATTTTAAAAATATTAAAATTAATTGAAACTTAAAGTTTAAAAATATAAATAAAAATACTCTATTGATGATACATGTACTTTTTACATTATCAAGTAATTATAAATTATATTAATAAATATTTCTAATGAGTTGGTGGTATAATAAATTTTATGCTAATAATGTCTATTAAACTTTATATTTTCTCCCTAAATTTTATGCTAATAATGTCTACTAAA